CCATGTAAGCCTAACTTGTTTTCACATGCCCAATGTACTGCAGTACTGAATTCTTCAAATAACTGACAAGAAAAACTAAGTCACATAGGGAGAGTTTTGTCAAAATAGTATTCAATGTCTAAAGTAAAACCCAACAATTCCCAATCTGAACAATGTATTGGAATGATTTTATATGCATTCTTAATATCCAATTTAAACAACCCACAATTTTTCCCATATATGCACATTAAACCTACTGCATCTTCTACCTCCTGATATTGAACAGATTTGAATTTATTATGAATACCAGAAACCCAGAATTTAGACCTACTTTGGATTTACTCAAACTGATAGCCAATGCCTCACTATGGATTTCTGAATTTAATGTTTGCTTTTTGGGCTTGATTTCACACTCCCCTTCTAAGTTTTCACTGATTTCAAAGCCTTTATAATTATTCTTATTTTTGATTCCTAACAAATTTCCAAATCAAAAAATTCCTTTCCCCAGATTTTGCTTTTTATCTTAGAATCTACACCGAGACCCAATGGCCTAATGATATTAGGATTCTTAACCCCTGCGCTAAGCGATAACTCCTTAGATGCTGTTTGTTAATTAGTACCTGAATTACTTGGTAAAATTGCCATCTTCTAATTGCCTTGAATGATTGTTGCTTGTTGGAGTGTCACTTGCGACTTCCTCTTGTTGTAAATTAACTGGCTTTGTAACCACCCCCATAGTCTGTAGGCCTATTACCGGTACTCATCTCTGTAAATGGATGTTAGCATGTATGCCTAATTTATACAAATCATGTCAAGAATTCAATCTATCTATGACTGATAAAATTATCAGCTTTTGATTAATGTGGCAAAATTATTGTTGATTTACTCATCCAAATATTAGCCCATATCAGACAATAGGATAAAATTACCCATTAGACCTGACTCTAGGGTAGTTCTTTATACAAATTATTGTTTATATCTTAAAACAATCTGTATAATTACAGTGCACTAGTGAAATATAACTACACAATGTATCAAGAAACCATTGCAATATCACTAATTAATTCACTATCCCTAGTGAAGCATAGCGATAGAATTATCGCATTTGTAACTTGATAAAATTAACAAGATTCAGCACTAATGAAGACGTGATAAAATTATCACTAACTGCGATAGAATTATCGCATTTATAACTTGATAGAATTATCAAGATTCAGCACTGATCAAGACGTGATAAAATTATCACTAATTGTAAAGCATAGCGATAGAATTATCGCATTTGTAACTTGATAGAATTATCAAGATTCAGCACTATTGAAGACGTGATAAAATTATCACTAATTGCGATAGAATTATCGCATTTATAACTTGATAAAACTATCAAGATTCAGCACTGATCAAGACGTGATAAAATTATCACTTATTGTAAAGCATAGCGATAGAATTATCGCATTTGTAACTTGATAAAATTATCAAGATTTAGTGATACATTAAAATACCACTAATTGTTCAGTAATGTGGCAAAATTACCACTCATACTTGAACATGTGGCATATTATCACAGGCTCTTCTGCAACTCCTGCAGTAGAAAAAGTTTCCAGACTTACTGTTCTACATGTAAGTAAAAATAAATGCTTGATCACAAAGGTCCCTTGCTGTATTTCCCACTCTTGGACTGGCTCTCTACAATGCATCTAATACGCGATTAAACAGAAAACTGCTGAAAGTATAACATTGTGTCATATATGCATAATAACTTTTTTTTTTTTTTAAATCATTAATACCCATTTTGTAAGCTGTTCTAAGTCACTGGGGTACTAAGGCTAAGGTACATATACATGTATTGCCTGTTTCATAAATTTAAAATGCAAATTAACCATAATTGGTATATGGCTAAATGACATACAAACTATTTATCTAGCTATCACTTGTACTATGTATCACAGCACCCCTGATTGCCCTGTAATATTTCACATTGCCAATATGGTTCATGTGTACACCATCACAAAAGTTATTCACTACAGAGTTCTTCAAGCCCTTTAACTTCCAGTACACAACCTGCCTTCTGTTTTTAACTTCTTCTTTTAAAAGTTGATTTGCCAAGACTATTTACTTATTATATAAAACAACTCGGCAGTGTCTGGTGGAATATCTTGGTAACAACTGACACACATATATCTATAGTGTATTTAAATGATACCGGTTTAAAAACGAGTCACATGTCGCCATTATTTTTGACACAATTTCCCTTACCGAGTCCTCATCAGCCTGCGGCTGATCGATATCGTTTCCCGCAATATGTAAAATTAGCTTCTGTGGTCGGTTCCTTTGAATCTCCTCTTCTAGCACTCTAATGTCCATACTTCGACCTATTCTGCCCCCACAAATCCCAATGACCGAAATCGCTACATTTTGTACATTAAATATAATTGTTTGAATGTTGTCTCTGATTCCTCGCATAATGATATAAGCGTCGAATGTGTGAGTCACCAAATATTAATACAGACATCTTGATGAAGGAAGAACACAGTACAAAATAATGATCGTTGGGACAACACAGGTTACGAATGATAAAAAAATCGGGTTCAAAAATAAACTTGTATTTCCATACAAATATGGCGCTGCCACTGATTGTACTCAATCTAATACTGAGGCTGTTCCAAAAACAAGACCGCACAAAAGTATTAGAGTTATCTCGCTTGTCCCACTTTCAATACACAAGAAATGGGCATAAAATTATTTATGAACATAAATAGCATTTATCTTCTCAATTTCATCTTTAACATTCTTTAACTCTACCAACAGATTTTCCAAAGTATTAATTTGACGTTTTTGATCTCTCTGCTAAGAGTGCAATCTGCCATAAATTTACAATCGTTTTAGGATTGTGTGTTGCTACGAAAGGTTTAATGTCATTAATTTACCCGTTCATAGCAACAGACAATACAACATTTCCCGGGATATTTTTAATTAAAGCAGTTTTATAAGTTTTGTTAAGAAATCTTCAACTGATTCTGTATCATATAGTCTCACGATTTCTAGCACTGACAAATCTAAAATATTTTCAAATTCTCTGAATCTTTCCAGGAACAAAGTTTTTATATTACCGTATAAGTAGAAATTTTAACGAGGATTTAATTTTTGCATTATTAGCGAGGGTGCTGCCATCGCTAAAATTGAATATCGCTAAAAATCAATCGAGTATTATTTGTAATAGCTTCTTTAATTAATATTTCAAAATCGCTAAAATTACTTCTCGCTAAGAATAAAATACCAGTTTCTAGGTAGAAATCGCTTAATTTGTGTCTCGCTAAAATCTCCACTTATACGGTATCTGCATTGCATTTGGCTTTTGTTCAAGAGGAAGCGAACTATACCAAACCTAAGCATGGGCCTCCAAATGAAAGGGGAAAGCATCAAGTATTTCTTTGTCAGATAAGTCATCAAATCTAACCCACTGAAAAAAATTAGTCAACCACAAAACAACATTTTGATTACCATCACCTTTAAATTTTTCAAGTTTTTTTTAGGATCGGACGTATTTGAAAATAAAAGTTATGTCCTATCTGTCCTATTCTTTTTATTTTCAAAGTCTTTTGAAGAAAAATATCAGTTCTTGAATTATGAGTTTCCTGACTGTGTCAGACATCTCCTCTTACCAGCCCTGTGCCATAGCAATTGTCCAAAACGACAAGAGGACAAAACGGTATTGGGCACTACACAACTAGCACAAAAGTTTGTAATCCCCATGGCTTACCGAGCTGGAAGAGCGCTCAAATTCATGGGTTCCTCTGCACAACACAGGATGTTTTATTGTTACTCGATCGTGGTCCTTATCACGCGTTGCTTAATCCTCGTTATGTTGTTTAAGTACTCCTGAGGATTTAAAAATAGGTCAATTTAAATTTCAAAATCCAAATTTATTCTCTTGGGAAAATCAACCAACCGCTTCAACTGTTTTTTTTTTTTTTTTTTTTTTTGGTTTTGGGTTTTTTTTTTGCAAACGTTTAACTTAGTCCTTTGCGACAAGCCCCATTTCTTCACCACTTTTCATAAAAATAAATTGTTCCTTTTGTAATTTTGTTTGTTTTGTGAGTTGTTTTTGACTATCATATATAATTTGTCTGGTTACTGGATCATCTGATAAGCTCCCGGGATCGTTCTTCCCTTATCGCCTTTGAGAGGTTTTAAGGCCAAGGGAAAACATTCCTCCCATTCCCTGGTCCTGACCAGACGAAGTTAATCAGGTTCTCAATGTCCAAGATTGCATCTAGTCTCCCTAGGATTTTTTTCATTCTCTTTCTGTATGTCCAGCGCATTACAGATTATGGGGATTGGCAATGTTACCCAACCTGTATAAAAGCAACCAGAAAGAGACAAAATCCAGCTTTCCACTCATTATGAAAGTAAGCAATCCATTTAAACATCTATGATTACAATAAATAATTTAACAACAAATGCTGAACATTATTATAAATATAACATCTTATAATATAAAAAAAAAAGTTTAACCTGCAAATAAAATTAGCCATGTGAAATTTAGTAATTTTGACCAAAACTCGCGAAAGTCTACAAAATAACCATACCTGTATAAATGTAACCAGAAAGAGACAGAACCCAACTTTCCACTGCCGAATTGTCTCACTGAGTTACATTTATACCCCCGTGCGTGCCCTGAGGTCACTTAATTGTTATTGATCGCTCTTTAATCCTAACCAATTACATATTTTCATAAACAAGTAAATAACAGCTGCATTCTCATGATTTATTTCGTGGAACTGTCCGGGTTAAAAGTTCAATTCCTATTGGTCAGCATCTTTAATTACTTTTATCTTTAGAGCTCGCGTTTGTTATTTTTCCAGGCCGAATAGTGCAAATCCATAAAATATGTTACATTCTTATTTTTACTGCAATTTTTGTTATGATTATAACAGCAAAAGACAGGGAGTATGAACTGTGTAGATACCAAAGGTAAACAGTCACGTGACTAATACAAAAAATCAATAATCTTTTTGGCAGCCATTATCGTCTCATTTCAGGTAATGTTAAGATAAGCTGAACATTTTTATATATACGTTAAAAGGGATAGTTTTTCAAATTGTATTGCTATCAAAATTTTGCTAACAATAAGGAAAATCCCTGTAATATATAGAACATGTTTTTTGAGTGCACTTCTAAAATAGGGACATTTTAACTATATTCCAAAGAAACATTTCTGAATGAATTTAGTCTGATAGACGATATCTGTCTTTTTATCTTCAAATGCGTCTATTTAAAAAGCCTTTATGAAGCTCGATCTGCACCATTCAAGTCGAGTACCTGTGAAATGCAAAGCGAAATAGAAACGGATCAATCCGAAACGAAACAAAAACAGAAAACAGAAAAACAACGAAATCTATCTAATTCGAAACGAAACAAACCTAAAAAAGAAAAAAAAACCTATTGAAACGAAACAAAAACTAAAACGTCCTACTAATATGTACAATTAACTTGCAAAATCAAATTACAATCAAATTCAATATTAATCAAATCATTTGAACAATAAAATATTATATACAAATAAAACGCTTTATTAAAAAGACTAAGGCGACGGAGCTATTGCATGCTTTCTCTCTCCCTCTCTCTCCTCCCCCTCTCTACTACTACTACTACTACTATCTACTAGTACTACTTACGAGGGTTGTTCGCGGACCGATTGATTTACAGAAAATATATTGTAAACTGTGAAGTGTGACCTATGTCTGATTACTTTCCTTTTATTTGTTTATTAGTATATAAAAAATCAGGTCAATTTACAAAAATTTAAACAAAATACAAAGATTTTTACTCTGTGGTCATAGGATTCACGGAGCAATCACTTGACCTTAAATGACGCGACAATCAAATTTCAAACCCGTTAAGCTTTATAAGAGTTCTAAATATCTTTTTATCTTTAAGCAGTTAAGCGATAAGGTATGAATTCAATGCAAAATTCCTTGGCACAACGTCCATGCAAAAAGCATGATAAGCGGGGTAATGTTATATTGCAGGAGTTGATTATTGAAAATGTAAATCCTTCCACTCTTATAAAGCTACTACCTTTTAAATACTTATGTCCTGTGTGTGTAAAGGCAAGTTCATCAGCATCTAGAAGCGTTTTAGACCCTATTTTAGACATTTTCTTTTATGCACTCATAATCTTTACTAGATCAGTGCTCCATGACGTTCAATGACGCTCCCATTCTTGGCTTAATTTTTATGCGTTGATTATTTATAATTTTTTTTATAAAACAGTCATATACCCTCGAATTTAATGAATAATTTCACCAAGTGACGTTTCATGAATACTGAAGCGACGGGCAAAATATCATTATCTTTTTGCACTACAACTGTGCAATTTTTAAGATCAATAAAATGTCCATGTAATGTGAACGTGCGAAACGAAGATGCTCCATGAAGCATGTTTTATCAAAATAAAATAGCTGTATATTTTCGATGAATAACAATATCAAGTACATGTATTAAAAGATAGAATATCTCTTTTTTCTATCTTCCTGTTTATTCTGTATGGCACAAGTACATTATTTACAAAGATTTTAAAAGTATGAGACCATCTATATAGGTAAAGGATATTTTAAATCAATCACTGACTATTTAACAAACATAGTGTCTAACGTGATACACGAGGAAAGATATCACGCGGTGAATTATAATATATAATGTGTCACAGCCCTTGGCTACAACATAGAGAGGAAGTGTAAGAGGAAGCAGTTTTTTCCTCTGTTAAACCACGAGCGCATGTTTGTCTATGAATCTCCTTTAAACAAACTACAAATGCAAATATACAACTACTGTTAAAACGAGAACTATAGAAAAACATGCCTTAACAATGTTTAAAGTCATTTTAAAAAGTTGGCGACCGCATTAACGTACGGAGATTAAAGAACTTGTGATGACTCCTGCCTTAGAAAACAGATTTGTATATCGTAGATGTATAATATTTTTCATAATAATTAACTTGTACATTAGAAATTCTTCATTCCTGCAATTAAAAGAAAAATGTCTATTATACATTGAAAGTTTGATTTTCTTGCAAATTTCGCAAATCCTTAAGTGAAGTCATCCTTTTAATATTCCTCCTGCTTGAACATCTACTCAAATGGAAACTTTTGAGAGGGCAATATATGTACAGCTGCTGAATTTCTTTGACAATATATTCCATCCCTATTGATCAGCATTTAGGCCAGATAATGGATGTAATACTGTTTTAATGAAAATCAACGAAGACTGGAAAAAAGCCATTGATGATAACAGGTATACTGCTGCTGTGTTTATGGATCTCTCAAAGGCCTTTGATTGCTAACCGCATGACCTGCTACTGTTCAAAATGAAAATGTATGGCCTCTCAGATTCTGCTCTAACACTTGTGCAAAGTTATCTGTCAGATAGGAGACATTTTGTAGAAGCAAAATTATTAGCAATTTTTCTTGTATATCTATTACTTGTATATTAATAATTTCATTAGATTATGCATGTATAAATGAGAAAATTGGTACGTCATTTCCATAGTTTTTATTCATTCATAAATCCTTAGATCCGCTCCTGCAGTAGCACAAAGCCTTCATCACCACTGTAAACAAAACATTCATCTCCTCAAAAATGTTCATGATTCCGCTTAACAGAAAGTTTACACATGATTTATCATCTCATAACAAACATAAGCCCTGTGCAATGCAGAAATGCTCGAATTGAGGGTGCAAAACACAGTTTTATGTATGATATTATCAGGACGATACTTGAAGAGGGACAAGCAAAACTGACCTCTAGAAAGAAATAAAATGAAGACTTGTTACATAGACTTCTGCGTATCAATGGAAAGACAAAATTGTGAATTTTATAATTATCCAACTGTAATACATTGATCTATTACTGTTAGGGAGTATTTGACACAAGAAACATGGGGGATATTGGGTTGTTTATGCATCCATTTTCAGTGCACCTATGCATTTTTAGCCCCCCTGCTCAACAAAAACAGGAAAAAACTGACAGAATAAATTATGTGCATTTCACAGAACAAGTTCTAAGGTTTTATTTTATTGTGCTTTCAGGGTACATTTTCACCTCTTGAAAGAGCTACATTACCTGCTTATTGACTCATGCAATTCTGCACATGTGAAAACCGGGTGTTTTAGGAGTTATCTCCCCCTATTAAAAAGTCTCACAATTTTTTTTTCTAAAAATGAATGCACATTTTTTCTTTTAATATTAAAATAAGACTCTACTCTATGAGAATAAAAACAAAAATATGCAGTTTTCAAGTACACTCCTATAAATAGCAGGAAAATCCCTGCCCAGCATGCTTCTCTCTGGGAAAAACCTCCTGGATTTCATACGAAACTGTGTTTAGCTACATGAAGGGGAAAATTCAGGAAATATTTTGCGTCAGCCATGTTTTGACCTGAACCCTACCAGGCATTTTGTAATTAAGGTCTTCCGTTTCCAACGGAAAGGATTGATACAACTCAATTGTTGTCCAATCTTAGCTAAAAGGTATTGTTCTAGTGATGATAAAAATGAAAGTCTTGTCCAGTACGGGGTGAAATATGATATTGCTTGCAATAGCAGACTTTCTAGTTTTAATTACTGTTCTGGCCTCGTGAGGATCCTTGTTAGAATAGGTCATCAGTACCCACTTGCTTGTCGTTAAAGGCGACTAAATGGGACGGTCCTTCGGATGAGACCGTATAAACCGAGGCCCCGTGTCACCGCACGATAAAGATCCCTCCCTGCTCAAAGGTCGTAAGTGCCGAGCATAGGCCTAAATTTGCAGCCCTTCACCGGCAATGGTGACGTCTCCATATCAGTGAAATATTCTGGAGAGGGACGTTAAACAGTATACAATCAATCAATCAATTACCGTCCTGTTGTTTGGCACTTTTGTGGAAAAAATAACACAAGAAAAATTAAGAAACAAATCCGAGAAAGAGCTTTCAGATTTATTTATGAAGATAGAAGCAGTGCACATGAGAAACTATTACTTTAAGCAGGTTTACCAACTTCAAAAGTTAGAAGAATAAGGACTATAGTTACAGAAGTTTTTAAAATCGTAAAGAATGAAAATCCTGTTTATTTATCAAATGGATATGGGTATAACGAACAGTATTCAATCTCAAAGTCCATAAAACAGTACAAAATAAGAGCAGAGCAAACACGGATCCCCAAAACGTCAGAGGCGGGGTCAGGTGCCATGGAGTAGTGAGCATCCCCCGTTGACCGGTCACACCCGCCGTGTGCTCCTTGTCACGATCAGGAAATAACGGAAAAAATATGTCGTCAATTCAGTGTATAGATAATGGACTTACAACTGGTATGAAAAAAGTCAGTCAGCATTTGACTCAGTGACAGACTGTATTTGCTGACAAGGTCATTGTATCGACCATAGAACTTACGAAATGATGACTTTAAACGAAACTGCTGATATTCTTGTTTCATCAAATTGCTTGTCAATAATTTACGTCGTTTAAGAAATTGTTCATACGTGCTCTTGCATATCGAATCCACTAAGATATATATACTCCGTATGCAGGTGATGAAGGTATATTGCTGCATAAGTAAGGGAAGTTGACGATAGAAAAGTTAAAGTCATCACGTTTATCATATAGCTTGGTTGATAGATAACCATTAGTGTCTTTTTCAAGTAAAATATCTAAGTATGAAACAGAAGTGTCGGACTCTGTGGTATCTTTATCTCAAGCTTACTAGGATATATCGTATCGACGTAGGAATGGAAATTACCATTATTAATTGAAAATACATCTTCGATATATCTGAATGTCGAGCTGAAGGCAACAGCAAGTGTTTTTTTCTTTTCATGCATAAGATTTTGCATAAATTCTTCTTCATATGAATATAAAACTAAGTCTGCTTATAACGGAGCGCAATTTGTACCCATGGGAATTCCAATAGATTGTTGGAATACCTGGTCTCCAAAAACCACATAGATATTGTCAATCAGAAACTCAAGATTCAAGATGTTCTTGATGTCAACTTCAGAGTACTT